TGCTGTAAAGTGCGGTGGGAATCTCTCTGAAACCACTCTATTTCCCTGCCTTGTTTTTAAACTCCCTGTGAGCTATGCAATAGATCAAGCTCATTCTCTTTGTTGACACGCTCAGCTTTGCCTTCTCATGCATCTGACTTCAATGTTTTTCACAGTCTTCAAATGAATTTTGTATGAAACAGAGCAGCTGCCTGTAACAGATAGCAGCAAAGCACCAGGTCATAGACCAGTTGATCAGCTGCCCCTTTCTAAGCTGCAGTCTGCTTCTTTGAGGGTTGCCTCAGTTCTCAACTGCCAGAGTTCAAGAAAATCTGATCATGGTTTGATTCCAGGAGAGAAAAAAAAAAAAGTCAGTTTAAAATTCAAAGTATCAGTGTAATCATTTACAAAAAAAAAGAAACCTCTAAATGTCTGTTTCAGAAAGTTTAAAGAAAAATAGAAGCAGGAAGGAAATCCCCTCAACAGTTTTATTTAGAAAATAATAAAATTGTATCGATGCCACCTCCGTGTTGACAAAAATAATGCAGGAGAAGAACTTGGTGAACATGTTTTTAATTAGATCATTGATGTTCACAGCATCAAGTACAAGAACATTGGACATAATCTACTTGATTTAGACTCATTACTGCACACTTAAAAGAATTTCACACACTATGCTCCTCATTCTCAGGTGGCTTAGTGGTTATTGTGGATCATGAACCACGCCTTTTTGATCAGATAAAACTAAAATATGATGATGAGAGGGGAAAAAAAAAAACCTTATGTTCATTAGCCAGTGCTTATAAAAATATATAAGACATCAGATATTTGAGATGAAAATCTTTTTATTAGATTTTTCATTAAGTTTGTGGCAACATTTTAAATAATAATATTGCTTCTCAAGTCACCTTTTATTGGGTTAAAACCTTCTGCAGCACCTAAGCTAAAAAAGGCTTCATTGATTCATGCTTACATTTGAGTTTTTAAAACATCGCTTCTTCAGGTAAATTACTTTGACAATTATTTTGCATACACCAATAAGACTTGTGCAGTGAACAGTCTACATTAACATACCCAAATAGTCCTCCAAATGCCCAAAGTCCTTTTCTTTTAATATGTATTTTTTAATTTCCATAGTTTTTGGGGAACAGGTGGTGGTGTTTGGTTGCATGGAAAAGTTCTTTAGTGGTGACTTCTGAGATTTTGGTGCACCCGTCACTTGAGCTGTGTACATTGTACCCAATGTGTAGTCTTTTATCCCTCAGCCCTCTCCTGCCCTTCCTCCTCATTCCCCCAAAGTCCATTGAATTATTCTTATGTCTTTGCATCCTCATAGTTTAGCTCCCACTTATAAGTGAGAACATGCAATGTTGGGTATTAGGTTTTCCAATCCTGAGTTACTTCACTTAGAATAATGGTCTCCAATTCCATGCAGGTTGCTATGAATGCCATTATTTCATTCCTTTTTATGGCTGAGTAGTATTCCATGGTATATATATATACCACACTTTCTTTATCTATTCATTGGATGGGCTTTTAGACTGATTCCATATATTCACAATTGTGAATTGTGCTGCTATAAACTGAAGTCCTTTTTCTAACCCAACTGAAACCCTTAAACTCCTAGTATATAAAAATTCTGAAGCTACCACTGGCATCAGGTCTTTTGATTCTAGCCTTAAAAAGCTCTAGAATACCCTCTTTTTTATCCGCACCACCAATGACATATAACAAGCCTTTGTAGTCACTTTCCTATCATCTTCTAGGAAAGCTTCTAATTGACCTAATGGCCTCCTGTCTACTTTTTACATTGATGATGGAATTGTCCTTTTAAATGTAGCACTGATGGTTTCACTTTTCTTCTTAAGAATCTTCAGAAGAGTGAAAACAGAATAGGTTAAAAGAGTGACATGATATTTAATCACTTTACCCTCGGAAGGACCTGGATGGGAGAAAGTAGCTAGAACCCTAGTTAATTGCCTCTGAACTGAAGCAGCTTCTACCGGTAACCTGGCATATTATCCAAATATTACCATTTTCATTTAGGTCACTACGCAAAAGCTCCAAAAGCACTACTGTAAAGCAACAGTTCTTAACTGAGACCTGAGAACCCCCAGGAGAGCAATGTATGGAAATTGAGATATTTGAGATGCTCCGTAAGTTTCTGGGGAGTGGATCTATAGAAATTATCTGTTCTTGAGGGGATCATACCTGTTAAAAAGTTAAAAACAGATCCACAGTACATGTTGGTTTTAACTGGTTCTATACTATCTGCACAACTTCAGCAACAACCACTTTTTCTCATGCATCTTACATTCCAGCCACAGCAGACTACTTGGCATTCTTTTCAACTTCCAGAGGTTCTCCGGTCCCTATTCTTCTGCAGCATTATCTCCATAACTTCCTATTTCTTACCTTAGGCTTCAGTAGTGATGAGTTGTTTATAGTTCTCTGAAATCATTTTCAAGGTTCAATGCTTTGTCACATTGCTATCATCAGCTTGGAATGCTCTTACAATCTGCCTGGCAAACTCCTCCACATCTGCCAAGACCCAGCTTAAACCCCACTTCCCTATTGCTTTGTAGGGACATGGATGAATCTGGAAGCCATCATTCTTAGCAAACTGACACAAGAACAGAAAATCAAACACTGCATGTTTGCACTCACAGGCGGGTGTTGAACAATGAGAACACGTGACACAGGGAGGGAAGCATCACGCACTGGGGTCTGTTGGGGGTGCTAAGGGAGGGACAGCAGGGGGTGGGGAGGTTGGGGAGTGATAACATGGGGAGAAATGCCAGATATAGGTGATGGGAGGATGGAGACAGCAAACCACCTTGCCATGTATGTACCTATGTAACAATCCTGCATGATTTGCATATGTACCCCAGAACCTAAAGTACAATAAAAAATAATAATAAATAACATATTATATTTAAAAAAAAAAAACTCCTCTTACTCCTCCTAGAATTCATTGCTTTTGTTTTCATGTTGCCACTTTATTCAGCATTAGTTTCACTAATTTCTACTCATTCTAATGAACTTAGTATATTTCTCCTTACTAGACTTTATGCTTCTTGAAAACAAGGTCTCATTTATTCATCTTTTTATGCCTAGCATATGGTTTTTAGTTGACGCTTAATACACATTTGTTAGATGGTTGTTCGTCTATCCCACTTTCATATGTGAAAGATAGACTTTCTTTGAAGATCTAGGTAAAATGCCACTTCTGAAAAACCTCTCGACTCCCCAAGGTCAGGGGCTGCTCTCTGTAACACAGTAGTTCACAAACAAATCTACTGTGTCAGTTATACCAGTCCCTTACCTTGTTCAGGTGTAGAGCTGAGGGCCTTCAGTTTGTAGGCTCAGCCCTGCTCAGTTCCTTGGCTAAATCCTGACAAAGGAAGCTATTGCAGGAGTGATTTCAGACCCACCAGTGAGTGTCTTACCACACCCCTCTCAAAACCACCAGTAACAACAACAACTTTTTTTTTTTTTTCAGAACTCTCATATCTTTATCTGCCAGCCCTCTCTCTCTAGAAACTGAACCTGTATAGCCTTCATCTGGGAAGCCTATTCCAAATCAGAGGATTTTTTAGGAATCATAACATTCTGTCTTTCTGCTCTTAGTATTCCTACCCCACCTGAGAAATCAGTGCTCAACCAGATAGAGCCTAATATTGCAGACTGAATTGTTTTCCGCTATGTTAAGGAAGAATGACCTCACAGCCAGGATATTTTTTCTGACCAGGGACAGCTATGTCTGTTTTCTGCTTTGTTCTTCCCCCAAGAGCCTGGAGCTAATTGTACAGTAACAATGTTTAATAATCCATAATGCTTAACACAATGACTTCCCATAATAGATGCTTTACATGAGTGAATGGACAGATGAGTATCCAGTTTTATATACGTAGAAATGGATGTTTAAAATATATACATATATATGTGTGTGTGTGTATATATGACGTATATGTGCACTTATATATATGTGTATACAAATATAAACTATATATATATATATATATATATATATATATATGAAGTAATGGGAACTGTGGTGAAAACCTTGTCTACAGGAGACAGCTATCCCTTGGCCCTAGTCATTTCTTGACACATGAGAACATGGGTCCAGGAATACCAGATTTACTACCTTTTCAAGAAAAACTGAACACTCAGATTTTTCTGTGAATCTTTTGATATTTTGGTGGGAAGAACCATGGTTCATGCCCAGTGCACCTGTGGGATAAAACAGATTAACAGGTAGTTAAGTCAGATATTAACAAGGGTAAAACATATAGGACAGTTGTCTCTGATTTTTAGTGCTAGCTGAGCGTCACTATTTCCGGAAAGAAGGGACAATGGCAAAAATTTCATGTACAAGAGTCATCATGAAAGAAACCAGCTTGATTCTTTTCTCTGCCACTGTTCTCTTCAGCCTGTGATATGTCACTGCCAAAATAAGAAAATCCAGGAAGTGAGTGCCTGGTGGCGTCAGTAATCTGAGACAGATAATTTGAGTGATGCTGATTGAAGAATAACTGTGGTCTGATAAGAAGATTAGGATGATTCCTTTATTATTTCCTGCCAATGGCTTATTAGAGGAAGAGCCTGGCACAATATGGGATTAATAAATATTTGTTAAATGCATGAATGAATATTGTTCTATATTTATAGAAATTTTTAGATAAGGTTCAGTATTTTTTTCTGAGAAAATTCTCCATAATCAAGGGCCTTACCAGATAAAGTGAAGACATTATGTTAAGTGAAATAAGTCAAGCACAAAAGTACAAATATTGTATGATTTCACTTACATAAAGTACCTAGAATAACCACATTTATAGAAACAGAAATAGAATGGCAATTACCAGGTAGTGGGAGTGTCAGTAATGGAGAGTTGTTTAATGGGTAGAGTTTCAGTTTGGGACATTGAGAATGGTCTAGTGATGGATAGTAGTGTTATATGCACAAAAGTGTGAATATACTTAATCCTACTGAATTGTTCACTTAAAGGTGGTTAAAAAATTGTGTTGGGAAAGGCTCCTGTGTTGTTGAAGCTGCTCAGTTGTGGGTGCAGCCTTGTACCAGGCAGCCCAATCCTGGTACAAGACCTAAAGTAAATTCCTAGGAGAAGTCTTTCCTAGGCTGTGAATTTGCAGTAACAGGTGTGCACATCCTAGCAGCAGTTTGATGATCATGTATGAAACTGCAAATAGGACAAAAACAAACAAACAATAAATAAATTGGTTAAAATGGTAAACTGTATATTTTACCACAATAAAGAAGTGTATTATCAGAATTGGAAAAAACCACCTTAAACTTCATATGTAACTAAAAGACAGCCCACATAGCCAAGACAATCCTAAGCAAAAAGAACAAAGCCAGAGGTATCACGCTACCTGATTTCAAATGATATTACAGGCTACAGTAATCAAAACAGCATGATACTGGTACCAAAACAGAGATATAGACCAATGGAACAGAAAAGAGGCCTCAGAGGCAAGGCCACATATCTACAACCATCTGATCTTTAACAAACCTGACAAAAACAAGCAATGGGGAAAGGATTCCCTGTTTAATAAATGGTGTTGGGAAAACTGGCTAGCCATGTGCAGAAAACGGAAACTGGACCCCTTCCTGACACATTACACTAAAATTAACTCCAGATGGATTAAAGACTTAAACATAACACCTAGTATCATAAAAACCCTAGAAGAAAACTTAGGCAAAACCATTCAGGACATAGGCATAGGCAAGGACTTCATGACTAAAACACCAAAAGCACTGGCAACAAAAGCCAAAATAGACAAATGGGACCTAATTAAACTCCAGAGCTTTTGTGCAGCAAAACAAACAATCATTAGAGTGAACTGGCAACCAACAGATGTGAAAAATTTTTGCAATCTGCCCATCTGACAATGGGCTAATATCCAGAATCTACAAAGAACTAAAACAGATTTATAAGAAAAAAAACAGCCCCATTCAAAAGTAGGCAAAGGATATGAACACTTTTCAAAAGAAGACATTTATGAGGCCAAGAAACATATAAAATATGCTCATCATCACTGGTCGTTAGAAAAATGCAAATCAAAACCACATTGAGATATCATCTCAGGCCAGTTAGAATGGCGATCATTAAAAAATCTGGAGACAACAGATGCTGGAGAGGATGTGGAGAAATAGGAACATTTTTACACTGTTGGTGGGAGTGTAAATTAGTGCAACCGTTGTGGGAGACAGTGTGGCGATTCCTCAAGGATCTAGAAATAGAAATTCCATTTGACCCAGCAATCCCATTACTGTATATATATTCCAAAGGATCATAAATTGCTGGGATTACAGGCATGAGCCACTGAGGCTGGCCTAGTTTTAGATAGCTTTAAACATTGATGTAATGTGGCAAGGCCCATGGCATGGTTATTTTCTATTGGGGTTTGTTTATCAGAAGTATGCTTCTGACTTTCAGAAGAATATGAGAGGAAAGCATGATGTCCACCTCTCTTTCTCCATCCTCATTTCTAGTCACTCAAGTCCCATATAACCTCACGCCTAGACAATTACATTAGTGTTCTACTTTTAACTCTTTTCTCATTCAATGTATACTGCACTATTTAATCATAGTGATTTTCCAAAATATAACCTTTTCCTAATAGATTATTTCCTATTTCACAAAGATCATATCTAGCATGGGTGCTCTTAACTTCCTACTCTTCCCCTACTTCTATAAACATCTCTGCATGCTGTGACCTTGCCTGCTTTCCCTGTTCCAGAAGGAGAAGGAGAGTTTTACACTCCTACTTCCTAGCTAAGGCTAATCCAGTCACCTGTTCTCTGGCTTTCATTCCCTCCCACCTTCTCCAAGACCTACAGCTATCAGCTGTCTTTTCTTTCCTGTGTCTTTAGCTTCTTCCTCTCTTTCAGCTCCTTCCCTCTCACCTAGAAACAAGCTCCAGTCATTCACAGTTTGCAAAACAAACAGTACTTTTCTCACCATCCTGAATTCCTCCTTCTATTCATTCTTAAACTTCTTGAAAGACTGAGGCCTGTTCACTTTCCCCACTTTCTTTCCACTCCTACAGGCTCCTGCCCTCCCTCAATTGAAACTGCTCTATGAATGTTACCCATGGCTGCTTAGGTGCCAAATCCAATAAGCAGTTTTCATTATTTATTTATCCAATTTGTCTGCAGTTTTGACAATGTTGCCTTTTTTTTTCCTGGAGGAAAGTTTATTATTTCATATATATATGTGTGTTTTTTTATTGCACTTTAGGTTCTGGGGTACATGTGCAAATCATGCAGGATTGTTGCATAGGTACACACATGGCAATGTGGTTTGTTGCCTCCATCCCCCTGTCACCTATATCTGGAATTTCTCCCCATGTTATCCCTCCCCAACCTCCCTACCCTCTGCTGTCCCTCCCCTAGTCCCCCACAACCGACCCCAGTGTGTGATGCTCCCTTCCCCTTATCCATGTGTTCTCATTGTTCAGCACCCACCTATGAGAGAGAATATGCAGTGTTTTATTTTCTGTTCTTGTGTCAGTTTGCTGAGAATGACAGTTTCCAGATTCAGCCATGTCCCTACGAAGGACATGAACTCATCGTTTTTTATGGCAGCATAGTATTCCGTGGTGTATATGTGCCACATTATCTTTGTTGGTTTAAAGTCTATTTTATCAGAGACTAGGATTGAAACTCCTGCTTTTTTTTTTTTTTGCTCTTCATTTGCTTAGTAAATCTTCCTCCAGCCCTTTATTTTGAGCCCATGTGTGTCCTTGCACATGAGATGGGTTTCTTGAATACAACACACTGATGGGTTTTGACTTTTTATCCAATTTGCCAGTCTATGTCTTTTGATTGGGGCATTTAGCCCATTTACATTTAAGGTTAATATTGTTATGTGTGAATTTGATCCTGCCATTTTGATGCAAGCTGTATGTTTTGCCTGTTAGTTGATGTAGTTTCTTCACTGTGTTGATGGTCTTTCCCATTTGGTACATTTTTGGAGTGGCTGGTACTAGTTGCTGGTACTAGTTGTTCCTTTCCATGTTTAGTGCTTCTGCCTTCTTGTAAGGCAGACCTGGTAGTGATGAAATCTCTCAGCAACTGCTTGTTCGTAAAGGATTTTATTTCTCCTTCACTTATGTAGCTTAGTTTGGCTGGATATGAAATTCTAGGTTGAAAATACTTTTCTTTAAGAATGTTGAATATTGGCCCCCACTCTCTTCTGGCTTGTAGGGTTTCTGCTGAGAAATCCACTGTGAGTCTGATGGGCTTCCCTTTATGGGTAACCCAACCTTTCTCTCTGCCTTCCCTTAGCATTTTTTTCCTTCATTTCAACCATGTAAATCTGACGATTATGTGCCTGTGGTTGCCCTTCTTGAGGAATATCTTTGTGGTGTTCTCTGTATTTCCTGGACTTGAATGTTGGCCTGCCTTGCTAGATTGGGGAAGTTCTCCTTGATAATATCCTGAAGAGTGTTTTCCAGCATGGATTCATTCTCTACGTCACATTCAGGTACACCTATCAAACGTAGATTAGGTCCTTTCACATGATCCCGTATTTCTTGTAGGCTTTGTTCATTTCTTTTCACTGTTTTTTCTCTAATCTTGCCTTCTTATTTTATTTAATTGAGTTGATCTTCAGTCTCTGACATCCTTTCTTCTGTTTCGTCAGTTTGTCTATTGAAACTTGTGTATGCTTTGCAAAGTTCTCATGTTGTGTTTTTCAGCACCATCAAGTCATTAATGTTGTTCTCTAAGCTGTTTATTCTCATTAGCATTTCATCTAACCTTTGTTCAAGGTTCTCAGTTTCTTTGCATTGAGTTAGAACATGTTCTTGTAGCTCAGAGAAGTTTGTTATTACCAACCTTCTGAAGCCTGTTTCAGTCAATTCATCAGACTCATTCTCCATCCAGCTTTGTTCCCTTGCTTGTGAGATGAGGAGTTGTGATCCCTTGGAGGAGGAGAAGCATTCTGGTTTTTGATGTCTTCATCCTTTTTGCACTGGTTTCTTCCGATCTTCCTGAATTTATCTGCCTGTGGTCTTTTTAGTTGGTGACTTTCAGATGGGATCTCTGGGTGGATGTCCTTTTTGTTGATGTTGAAATTATTTTTTCTGTTTTTTAGTTTTCCTTCTAACAGGCCCCTCTGCTGCAGGACTGCTGGGGGTCCACTCCAGACCCTGCTTGCTTCGGGATCATCTGCAGTGGCTGCAGAACATTAATGGTTGCTGCCAGTTTCTTCTTCTGTTATCTTTGTCCCAGAAGGGTACCCACCAGATGTCAGCCTGAGCTCTCCTTTATGAGGCATCTCTTTGGATATACAGGGGTCATGGAGCTACTTGCAGAGACAGTTTGTCCCTTATAGGAGCACAAGTGCTGAGCTGTGAGCTCCATTGTTCCATTCAGAGCTGCTGGGCAGGTACGTTTAAGTCTGCTGCAGCAGAACTCATGACCACCTTTTTTCCCAGGTGCTCTGTTCTGGGAAGGTGGGGCTTTATTTATAAGTTCCTGATGTGCTGCTGCCTTTTTTCAGAGATTCCCTGCCCAGCAAGGAGGTAGTCTAGTCAGTAGGCCAGCAGAGGCATTGCTGAGCTGCCATGAACTCTGCCTAGCTGTTGTTTGAACTTCCTTGCAGTTTTGTTTACAGAGGTACAGTTAGAACTGCCTTGGTAATGGCGGTCTGCCTCAGTAATGGCGGACTGCCTTGGTAATGGCAGACTGCCTCGGTAATGGCAGACTGCCTCAGTAAAAGTGGATTGCCTCAGTAATGGTGGACTGCCTCGGTAATGGTGGACTGCCTCGGTAATGGCTGTCGACCTTCCCCCCACCGAACTGGACTATCCTGCGTCCAGTTGCACTTGCTGCAAAACTTTTAATCCAGAGCATTTCAGATTGCCGGTCTTTGTGGGGATGTGACCCACCAAGCTAGATCACCTGGCTCCCTGTCTCAGCCCCCTTTTTTCAGTTGAATGGGTGGCTCTGTCTCACAGGCATTCCAGGGGCCAGTTGAAATGGCTGCCCAGATTTGTGTGAGTTTTTGTGTGGAGACCCGCTGCGCCATCTGAAACAACCATGCTGGAAACTCCTGGTGCTTTTCAGCTCCAGAATCTCCTGATCTGTGGGCAGTAATAACTCATTTGGAAATATGGTGATCACTCACCCTCTGCATTGTTCTCGCTGGGAACTGCACTCCAGAGCTGTTCCTATTTGGCC